ATATATAAAACAGTATACATAAGGCTCAGTACTATCTGAGATTTTTGGCATCCACTAAGGGTTTTGTGTTTTGTTTTTTGAAACATTATCTCCCTCGGATAAGGGCACTCATAGCACCATTTTGTGTTTGCTTCATCTCAAGGTTCTTCGTAAAACCAGACTTTTATAGCTGCAGTGGTTCTTAGGTCTACTCTAATCCAGGGCCTCACTGAGCACTGTAGGAATGTGGCACCTCATGGGAGGATTTACTGGAATAGCAAGCCTCACTATGTGGCAATAGACCTTGCCGTTTTTCTTAGCTATGGACTATAATTTTATCAACTCTCCTTATCCTGCATGTCTCTGACAGAGACATGAGAGCAGCTGCCACTACATAACACAAAAACTCAAAGCCAGGTGAGATAGCAGTCCTGTAATCCCTTTGTGTGGGAGGCAGAAATAGGAGAATGGCTACATGTTCAAGGCCAGCCTGGTCTACACAAAAAGCTACAGGCCAGCTATGACTATGTAGCAACTCTTGTCCCAAAAATAACAAAATGAAATTTGAAAATCACTGGGTTCACTGATGCAAATAAAAGGAGAGGAAAATACTAAAAATTATTCAGTAATAAACATTCTCATTTTACTGAGGTGACAACACTGGTCTATAAAGAGTATGCGGCTGGCCCAGGCTGTATGACAAATGGGGGCTGAATGCAATAACCGCACTACAGCCCAAAGTTCTGAGCGCAGCTCTAGAATCATATTTAATTACCTGGCCACTGCCATGCCCAGGAACCCTCCTTCTTCAGACTGTGTTTTATATTTTCCCAAGTATGTGCTGTATTTATTACTAAACCTTTGTTTCCTAACCTGTAAAATGAGACTATAAGTGCTATCTATCCCCATGGGGTTTCTATGGATATTAAATACAAGACAATGCATTTAAAGCACTTTAACTCTGCCTAGTACAAAGTAAACAACCAGCAAGCTGGCTACAGGCAGTCCCCTAAGCTGTAACTCTGTAAGATACCTGTGGACTGGCAAGGGAAGCGGATGCTAATAACTGCCCATTTAACATTAATTCTCCCTCTTAGACAAGGAACCCTGATTCTGTTGGGGAGAGGGGATTATCCAATTAAAAAGTCCACACTCTATTTAAGATATATACATGGAATTGAAGTGTTTATGTAATAGTTCTATCCTTTTGCCTGCAGGTCAATTGTAATAAATATAGGATGTGATGAGAAAAAATAATAATAACAAAGAAGCCTCCCTTGATTGAGTCCAGGGCTGGTCAATAAAATGAAGATACGTTCATAAAGGATGCATGCCAAGACTCTTTCAAAGGACGTCAGGGATGGTAAAAATGAATGCTAAACTCACGGAGAATTACTATCACTTTTGGAACTAGAACTCAAATTTCCTGAATCTTAAGAACCCACAACATTAAGAGCAGGGCCCCAGTTGTTGCCCTCTATGCACCAGGCTCAAGGCTGGGGGATCATTCGTGTTTTACACTTGACCAGCTAGCTACCCAAGTCACAGCAGCCAGTCTGGGACAGGAGAATTTGGGCTCCAGATATTCTGTTATCCTTATCTTCTCTAAGTTTGTGTTTAAAGCGGTTTCTGGAAGTATAATAAGGTTTTAGACACAAAGTGATGTACTGTACAAAAAGTCTCATAGAACACGTCTGAACAAGCTGTGCCCACGACTGAGCTGCACGACCATGAGCAAATCAGAACTCTGCGCATCCGGATGCCTCGGACAGAAGGCGGGGAGGCCTGGCCGCGCCCACGCGTGACCCTGAAGCCGCGAAGGGAGGCCCCACGCCGGGAGCCAGGGTTACCTGACAGTGCCGCCTCCTCGTCGCGCACGGCGCCCGCGGGCAGCGTGGCCAGGGGCGGCAGCCAGAGCACCAGCCACCACGGCCCCGGCGGCATCACTGCCAGAACGGAAGTGGCGCGGCCTTGGTGCCGGGGCGGGCAAGAAAACAGGCCCAGAGGGGCGGAGGCGGAGCAGGGCGCACTCCCAGCCCGGCGGCCCCGCCGCTGCCCTCCGCGGCCTCCAAGGGGCGCTCAACCGCCTGCGGCCGGGGCCCTTACGCAAGGAGACTGGGCGCCGGGCAGGGGAGAGGGCAGTCTCAGAAACACGCCCGACCCGGATCCCGACCCCGACCCTGACCCCTAACCCCGGACCCGCAGAGTGGGAGGAGTTCCCAGAGCTCCAGAGACGGACCACCCAGGAAGAGGCTTTTGTGCAATCTGCGTCTTAGAAATAAAACCAGCCTCCCCAACATGTCTCTTACTCTCTCCCTCTGCCCCTCCCTCTCTCCCTTCCTCTCTCCTTTCCTTCCTCCCGCCTTCCTCCCGCTCTCTGAAGCAATAAGTTGGAAATTGCATTGTTCAAATAACATATAGCTAAGCTCATAAGCACATCACTTCAAAAACAAAGGGGTTATAAAATGATCATCACCAAATGTATTTCTTAAAATGAGACTGTGGTTTTAAAAAAAAAAAAAATCCAAAACCAACGAAGATATGGTGAATACTCTAAATGTAACCTGCCTGTCTGAGATAAAGATGTTCAAATGAGACCAAACTTGAATCCTTCTCTTTGACTATCCTATCAGATTATTGAAACAATGGACCCCAAGAAACTGGGCTTTCCCCAGGAAACTCCTCGTGGGAAAAAGAGATAACCTAAAGCCTGGGCTGCCCAGAGGGGAACCTTTTCTCCTAGAAAGAGATTTACAACTTGTTAGACCACTTTTCAGAAAGACAGTGGTAGGCGGGTCACACGTTGACTGGAACTGCTTAACTACCGTAACTCTGGCCCTCTGCTTAAACCTTAACCTCTCACTTCAGGACCCTGGAAGATGGACTTCTGGAGGCAGGGGTGTCACTGGATCTCTTTGTCCCTCTTCCCAAAATGGTCACATTGAATAAATCTCCTTTTTCTTTTTTTTCCTTTTTTTTCTTGTCACTATTAATTTAGCTGTTTTGGTTGACTGATTGGAGGACAGGTGGTCAAAGCTGGCTTGTCAGGGCACAGGCTGTGACCCTGAATCCAATAATATAGGATAATTAGGATAAATTTAAGATTTGGCCTTCTTCAGTCTCTGGACATCTATTAATGTGACAGTATTCCATACTTGAAACAACCAGAACAGAAGGGTGCATTGGTGCAGGACTACAATCCCAGCACTTGAAAGGTGGAGGTAGGGGATCAGAAGCTCAAAGCCAGCCTCAGTGACATAGAGAGTCCAAGGTCAGCCTGGGCTACATGAGACCCTGTCTCAGCCCCATTCCCCATCCCTACCACCACCCCCCTCAAAACTAGGGTAAAGTCATTTTCCCTAATTCTGGCCTTCTACTTATAGCCTCTTTAGAGGGCTCAATATGACATAGGTCATTTGGAGGCTGGGGGGGTGGGGTCTCTTTTAAAAATAATAATAATTCAGCCTCATTTTTCTCAACGGCTGAATAAAATGGAATGTCTTTCAATTGCTAAATGCCCATGTATATGTACACCATACATGACTTTAAAAGTTCAGAAATTTTCTTGTAAGGAACTCTCAGGGGACTGATCTTTAAAAATAACCCATCATAACTTGAATTCCCACCATGTCTATCCCTAATTCAATTTTTTTCTAAACTTCTTTGGAATGGCTCTTGCAAGACAGCTTCTGCCCTAATTGCATTCATTTTGATTTGGTTAATTTGGGATAACACTATGGAAAGTGACTAAAAGAAACACACTGCCAAATGACTAATGTGCTTTCCTACAGATGTCTCTGATAGATAAAAGGACAGGCAACCATGTGCTGTTTACAGTGCTGCTCCTGTAACAGTCCATCGTCAGTCAATATCAAAGCAGCTTTCCCAAAGTTGGATATGCAGATGCACCTATAATCCCAGCACTTGGGAGGTGGAGGCAGGAAGATCAGGAGTTCAAGGCAAGCATCAGCTCCATAAGAAGAGAGTTTGAACTCCATGAAACAGTCTCAAAACAAAACACAATTGATGAAAGAAAGGAGGAGGAAAAAGAGAAGGAAGAGAAGGAGGAAGAGGGAAGGAAGAGGATGGGGAGGAGAAGGAGAAACAGAGAGAATGGAATGACATCTTGAAAATAGTATAAGAAAATGTGGATCCAGAATTCTACACCCAGCTACAATATATTCCAAAAATGAACAAAAATATTACTCCCCTCCCCCCATTTTTAAAAGAACTTCTTCAACAGAAGGAACATGATAACAGAAATTTGACTACACGGAAATAGCCAAAAGATGATAAACATGAAAATAAACAAAACTGAAATTATTTTAATCACCTTAAAAGATAGTAATCTAAAGTCTGGAGAGTTGGCTCAGTGGTTAAGAGTGCTTGCAAAGGACCCAAGTTCGGTTCCTAGTACCCATATAGCAGCTAACAGTTCCAGGAGGATCAAACACCCTCTTTGACCTCTTTGGGCATTGCTTGACACAGGACTTACATACAAGCAGGTAATACACTCATACTCATCAAATAAAAATAATAAATTATTTTTAAAATAAAAATTACTATCTAAAGCAAAAGTAGTTGCAATAAACTACTGTTGTGAAGTTTATTCCATCTTCAGAATTAAAATGTATAATAATAATACTATAAAGGAAAGGGAGTGAAAGTATGCTGTAGTAAGGCTTTTGTATTGAAAATTAATTTAGTACTACTTAAATTTGGACTACAATAAGTTAAAAATGTACATCTGCCAGGATTCATATCTAAGCTCTATAAAGTACTATAAATATTAAGCCCTAAAAAAATTGAATCATCTAATTACTAATTTAGCAAATGAATTGACTAGACAGTATTCAGAGGAAGAAATGCAAATGACCAATAAATATTTTTTAAATGTCCAATATCCTTAACCATCAGAGAATTACAAATTAAAACTGCTTTGAGTTTCCATCTCACTATATCCAGAATGGCTATTTTCAAGAAAATAAACAACAAGCGATGATGAACATGTGGGGAAAGAGGCACCTTCATTCACTGCTGATTGGAATGTACACTAATACAGTTACTATGGATTTCTACATGGAAGTTCCTCAAAAAATTTAAGATTAGAACTGCCATACGATTCAGCTATACCACTCCTAGATATATACCTTAAGGATTCTAAGTCAGCTCATTTTAGAAATACTTTCATATCCCTGTTTGTTGCTGCACTGTTCACAATAACCAAGATATGGAACCAGCCTAGATATCCATGAACAGGTGATGGCTAAAGAAAATACGGTTCATATGCTCAATAAAATCTTATTTGACTATAAAGAGGAATAAAACTATGACATTCACAAGAAAATGGATGAAACTGTAAATCACTATGTTAAGTGAAGTAAAAGACCAGATGCAGAAAGACAGTACATTTTTCTCTCATGCACAGAATCTAGATTTAAGATTTTAAAAAATATTTTTATTTTATGCATATGAGTTTACTGCCTGAATGTATGTAAGCGCACCCGTGCCATGCAGTGCCTGTGGATGTCAGAAGAGGGCAACAGATCCCCTGGAACTGGAGTTATGGACGGCTGTAAGCCACCATGTGGGTGCTGGCAACTGAACCCAGGTCCTCTGCAAGAACAGCCAGGGCTCTCAACCACTGAATCATCTCTCCAGCCCAATAGATTTAAATTCTTATATACATATATATGACATGAAAGTATAAAGGAGACTATGAGAAGAGAGAAGGAGGTCTTAAGGGGAAGGGTGTGGGGATCAAGAGAGGGAACATATATGTGGTGGAAGCAGAAGGGGCAACTATTTAGGGGGAGAAGAGGTACAGCCAGAAGGGGACAGGGTACATGGAAGGGGACATGAGGGGAAATAAGAACAAAGTATAATGATACGTGTTTGAAAATGTCCCAATGAAAATCACTTCTTTGTAGACTAACAAAAAATTAAGAAATAAAAAATTACAACTCAAAAAAACTTGAAGATGTGTATTATAAACATTAGAGCAATGCTAAAATCTTTTTTAAAAGAAATGTAACTAAGGTTGGAGATTCTGGCTCAGTAGGTAAAGCGATTCTGTTATTCCTCTTATATGTTGGTGGTGAATTTCATACTAAATATAGTCATGTACTTGATTCATGTTCTATATAGCAAGACTTTATGTAAACATGCATGCACGCAACATATAGCCTTATTCTCTCTACTTCCTGCTGCTCATGGCCCTGTGTAATTCCCTCCCCTTGAGTGTACGCGGGAAATATTGACTCATTCAATGATGAGATCTTTCTTCCAATATTAGATTATAAAAACACTTGAGTGCTGGAGGAACAAGCTACCACACTATGAGACATTCTGGGGAGAACCCTAGAAGGGTAAGTGGATGTTTCCCAATCGAGCCCTGAGATGAACACAATCCTGGCTGATACCTTCATTGCAGCTTCAGAGATCTGAAGCCCAAACCACCTAGTTAAGCTCCTCCTAAGAGACATAAGCATTTATTATTTCATCTGCTAAGATTTAACTTGTTATACCACAGTAGGTAACCAACACAAAACTAATTATCCTTAACCAGTGTTGAGATCCAATTATTGGCTATTTTTCTAGTAATGCTGTTTGTTTCCACACTAATCTGTCTCGGTATTGGCAATGGCAATGAATGAAATGAAAAAGAGAGAAGAAATACAGGAAGAGAAGCCAGTGTGGTCTGATTCAGGCAGACGCAGAGGTCCTTGACATCATCAGTTATAGTTGCTTTCTCCTCAAAAGAACTAAATGGGATTAACAAACTAATTGCTAATGTCTGCTGTTTAAAGTTAAAACAAAATGTATGTGTTTCTTTCTAGAAGAGGACTATACTGTTTAAACAAAATAAAACAAACAGGGCACCTGCAGTATTTTCTGCCCAAAGCCTTGTGGGCAGGCTTGTAAAATTACAGACTTGCTTGTTATGATTCCCTTAGGACCAGAAAAAGTTTGTCCCTCAGCAAAGATGAGAAATTTGTGGTTGTAATCATCACTAAATTTACCCAGATGATATAAGACTATTGCAATTAAATATTATCACCAGTCCATGAATTTCTACACAAAAATAATTTTTAAAAACATATCAGAATTTAGCTTCTTTTTGAAGCAACTGCAGATTTATCTTATGGATACTGGCTGTGGCCTGCTAGTAAATACCTGTGCCTATCTCTAAGCCAGAATGAAAGATGGCATCTTG